ATGTATCATTTTTCTGACATGTTTAAATATTTCTTATGCCTAGATTTAAGATTTTATTTCAAAAGTTAAATTAAATATAATTTTTTAAGTGGGTAACTTACGTTACAGTAACTTACGTTACGAAATTCCCTTTGTATCAAACTTTTATCAAATAATGTACAAATGCAAATTAAGTTATTTAAACAGTATAGTGCAAGGGAGAAAAAGTGTACATGAAGTAAATTCAGATACTTTTGATTCACACATAACTGCAAACTTATTAAGTCCTCTGTTATTAACAAGTACAGGGGGCTCAATTCTTTTCACCATGCTTTCTTTCTGTTAAAATATTTCATCTCTTTTCTGGCCATTTACAATAGATTCCCACAGCAGCCATTACATTGACTTTAAATTCTTGCTCTGCAACAGACATTACCACACCAGGATATAACATGTCCTCCTATCTAACCATATATCAACAACCCCCAGCATTTATCTTGAATTCATCATTTTCTTTTTCAACATTTTTCACTAAAAAAAACTCTTCTGGTATGCCTTCTTGTACTCTTAAATGGTGGATCTGCTTAATGTTTTTAATCTGTGGAGATTTTGAGAATAGACTAGAAACACTCCACTCATCTGTTGTAGAGACTCGCACTCAGCTGTTTTTTCTAAACATAAAATACATTTCTAAAGAATTTCGTAAGATGGAACATTATAAATTTTTCTGAAGGCTTCCTTAGTCAGTCCGAACTTTTCATGGTGCTTACAAACACAAACATTGCCTGGAAGTTTGCTACTAAGCAAGACATGCTTTGGACGGAGCTCAAAGAATTTAGTTTTTCCAATTTTGCATTCTGGATCTTCTTCCATAAGAATTTGGTGCATTTCTCGAACTGAATGATGAAGATGCCGTGCTTTTACTTTCTTTTTGCTACCATTAGCATCTCTAATTATAACTACATCCTTAACTCCCGGTGCCTGTTGAAATATTTCGCTCAACTTTGAAAACATATGAATGCCAACATCCAAATTAATAACTTAAAGCAAAGAGTTTCATTCAAATTAATATCTTAAGGCAGTGATAATTTATTTAAACTTTGGTATTGTAAATGGATACATCTTATTTAGTTTGTATGCCAATTTTCAAGAGGAATAAACTCATTTCACAATGGTAACTTACATTGCATGCATGTCAGTAACTTACGTTACACATATTGAATGGGGCGCAAAACAATAAATAAGTAATATTTGAAAAGAAAATTATTGCTGCTTATTTAGTGTTAGCCTCTAAGGAAGAAAAAATAATATTCCTACTTTTGTATCACTTGTTTATTTTTACACACAAAAACTTTTCCTAGTTTTCGGTAACTTACGTTACATGCATTAATGTTTAGTTGAAATTTATATAATTAAGTGAATTTAATAACAAAAACTTATTTTGACACTGCACAATAATTCTATTAAGCGTAATAAACAATATTTATTCTTTGGAACATTTTGAAATTAAAATAATGTTAACTTACTGATTTTCAAAAACTGACCATGTTCTTCACCCAAATCAGAACAAGTAAATGCCAATGTTCAATGGGTTACCAACACTAAAAAACTAAATTCTCAAAAAAATAATTATAAATTATCAAACTTCAAACCTTTCTAATTCAGAAAACATCCAAAATGATAACATTATTCTTATTTGAATTTTCCAATGCTTTTCCCCTTTTTCATGGAATTGCCCTGCTGATACTGTAAGGAGTCAAGTTTAAGTATGATTGTAATATGCTTGAATGTAATCAAAGTTATTTATTTATCTAATGATTGATTATTATACAAAATTTTATTCTGTACATATCAGCAACAAAAATTTTTTTTATTTTTCCTACAGTGGATAGAAAGAATTAATTTAAGCAATTTATGGTTTATCTAACATAAAGACCTAAGTTGAGTTACTTACTATTAACTTAAAATGACTGTTTTTTAAACTTCTAAACTAATATGTCATTTTCCTGGCATTCAAGATTTGGTGAATTTCTATTTTTTTTTTTTTTGAGCAAATGTCAATAAACTACACTGCTGCCTGTAAGATATTAATAAGTTTAACTAAAGAAGTATACAAAAAAAAATTTTTAGATTATTTTGAAGACTTTAAATTTGAAGAAATTTTTTGGTCCGAATTGTTGTGTTTAGAAAGAATCACTCATATATGTATATATGCACTGCTGGCCACTCAAATTGCAAAACCAAGAAGGACAAGAGATATCACAAAAAATTTATTTTGTAGATAACATGTTGACCAAGTATCAAATGATTAAATTTATAGTCTGTGAAGTGTGGTTCCTGCCAAAATCAGTAGCCAGAGTAGCAGCCATTGTTGGAGATCGCCACTGCCACACGCCTCGGCATTGATTCATGAGACTCTGGATGTGTTCTTGGGGTACAGCAAACTAAGCAGCTTCCACACGTTGCCAAAGTTGATCTGGTGTGGCAGCTGGGGATGTAATCTGGGTCAATCGTTAAGCAATCATGGACCACATGTTTTCTATCGGCGAAAGATCCGGAGAGCGAGCTGGCCAGGGAAGCAATTCAATCTGGTGATTGACGAAGAACCCTTGAACAATGCTTGGCACGTGGGATCGCGCATTATCTTGTTGAAATAGCTGTGGGCAAGCTCTGAAGGTAAGGAAGGACAACTGTCTCCAGCACCTCGGAGATGTAGCGATGGCTGTTTAAAGTACCGGTAATGCGTACTGGAGGAGTACGAGAGAGATATCCAATGCCGCCCCATACCATAATACCCGGTGCAGGAGCCGAACTTGAAATCCTAGAAATCTCTAAGCCTTAAATAGCGCTTTGAAGTGGCGGCACAGGCGCGCGTATTGTGCGTATGCGCTGAAATTCTAATCATTTGCATATCTCACCTCCGCTAATGCATGTTGTAAATTTCATGTTATTTGCATGCTTCCTTCAGGGTGTTGCATTTTTCGGTGGCCAGCAGTGTATATATATATATATATATATATATATATCCTAGGAGCAAAATAACTTGGGCTCTCATTGGACCAATATTTACAAATCTTGGCTCAATAAGGGTACAAAAGGTCGACATCTCTCCAATATGGGCCTTATTATAGAATTGTCCGATTCACTTGATATTTTACTGCCACTTTACAACCAATATCAGCCCTATATAGCATTATCATATTCACCCGATATTTTATAATCATTATTCAGCCAATATAAAGCCGTAATTGGCCTTATATAGGCCGATATTGGCACTGCATAGGACCAATATTAAAAAAATCTAGGCATCCCAATATTGGTTCCTCATAACATGTTCATATAGGACCCATATTGAACCTATTTTAAACCCTATTGGGGCCAAGATATAATTGTTGCTAGGGTTTACATTAATGTATTAATACATTAATGTTTTTTGTTACCGTTTTATCATTGCACAAATTCTTACTCCTTTGGTGAACTTTTATTCAAAAATGTTTAATGTATTATATAAATATAAAGGGTATTTTCTAATGACCACCCTTAATGTACACTAAAAATAATCCCTGTTAAAAATGAATTGAGAAATGTTTGCATACCAGGAGGTGAATGTTACTAGATATAAAAAAAAAACAAAATTGTAATTTAACGAATGTCTTCTGAGGGAGGAAAAATGACTTTTGTGGTCTTCTTAATTATGGTAACTTGTGGTAAAACTTATGGTAAAATATTTTTGTATATAGAGAATCTAAAGAGGAAGAAAATAAGAGCTTTAATGAAAAGTATGTAACAAACCCGGAAATTAAAAATATTAAAACCTAGATAATTAAAAAAAATCTATCCTTTTTAATCTTTTTTTTCTCCAATGTCCACCTGGAAAATGACCTTTCGTCATACAGGCATCTGGAGGGCAGATTTGTTGACCACTCTTTCAGGGGCACCACATTAGATGGGCCAACGTTGCTCCCACACAGGGCTGTTTTTATGTTTTTAGGGGCCTTTCTTTATTTGGGAGCCCTTTATGAGTAATTTTAGCAAAGAAAAATATTATTATTTAAAAATTATTTTATTTTAAAATTGAAAAAGCAATACATTATTATAAAAGCTTTAATAGATTATTTGTATTAAAAGTTTAAGTTAACAATACTTTTCTTGCTTTTTGTCATATCATTAAAATCAATTTCTTTCAAGACAACATTTTTAATGCTCATGATTGGCAAATGATTCAGTAAAAAAAATGAAGAAATCCTAAAACTCCCTAAAATAACATAAAAGTTTCCTGAACTAAAATAGAAGAAATGATACGAAATGAAATCATTGATGCTAAACAGGTAAAGTTTATAGATTCCTTCAAATAATAGATAATTTCTTCAAATTTCTTTCTCTTAATTTTTAAACTACTGATATTCTTTAACTTTACAGACAAACATTTCTCTTAAATAATATACTAAAACATAGAAATATGAAATAAACAAACTATTAAAATATAAAAAGTTATTTTTATGCCCATAATTTGAATCAAGGTTGAGGATTAAATTTTTGTAAAGGATAGGTTGGGATTGGATTTTTTATTATTTACAATACTCTTTATAATATTCTTCTAGTTTTTCATTCCCCAGTAATACCATCTATTTACATGGAAGTATTTATTTATATTTTTTAGTGCTTCAGCTTCATGATTCCTTCGTTTTTATACTTTAATTTTACACTAAGGAAAATTTTCTTTAGCAATAATAATTCCAAAACAGTAAAAATATATTTCCTGAGTAAAAAATGTCGTCATAAAATGAAATTTTTTTATTTAATAATAATATATAATAGTTGCTATGAATTTTTTTTAATTTCATAAATGAATTTCGGCAATATATATAAAATTATTGTTAATATTTTTTTTATTCTTTTAATTCAAAAAAAGTTTTGGAATGTTACTTATTCGTAATAATTATTTTAATAGTTCAAATAATAATTTTATATTGCTTTTATTTAAAAAAATATCCCTTTACAACATTTGCTTTTTTTTAAACTTTTATTTTTATTAGATTTATAAGAAAGTGCCTCTCAAAAAACAGGTAAGGTCAATACGTTATAGGAAAACTGGTATTACTTGAAACACATAATTCAAATTTTATGTCAAATAATAATTTAAATTTTTCAAAAATAAGAAAAAACATAAAGTATTGTTCATTTGCTATTGAATGGAGTACAAAAATCCCCTTTTCCTGAATTGTACAGCAGGTGTAGTAAATGAGTAAAACGAACCACCCCCTTGAAAAACAAGTTCCTGGTTATCTGCAGTAGTTCCTTATTTTTAAATCATCTGCAACATGTCTCTATTGATGAGACGTATGGCTGAACCAATTACTTCTTTTAATATTTCATTTCAATCTTTTTCATTCGCTAACACTTTTTTTTAACAAATCAGTTAGAATAACGAATTAGTCAGGATGAAAAAAAAATTAATGTGATAAAACATCAGACTTTTCAGAAACTCGGGGCACTGAGCCACGGTCCATTGGGCCCATTCTTAAAGTGGCTCTGCTCCCACAGTAAAGACAGATAGTACAGAGAATGAAGGAACATCCTTGCCTTACCCGGGATTCGAACCCAGAACCTTTCTGACAGGAGATCAGTTCCCTGAGCACCCGGTCGGAGCCAAACGTTGTAAAACAAGCAAGAAGTAACACAGTGGAACAATCTCCCCATATGCTCTGCAATGAGGTTCCGAGTTCACGAAACATTTTCGTCATGTATTTCAGAGTTCGCGTTTTGTCACAAAACACGTGATTACGTGATGAAATGATTCTCAAAACTAACCTAATATTGCGTAATTATCAAAAGTGAGAGCTTTATTTCTTAGAGTTTAAAGGTATACCGAGCAACGATACTTAACCAAAAAAAAATTTTGAGATAATACCGGGCCTTTAATCTTAATAAACATCACTGTAGAAAACTACAATTAAAAGAAGCTTAATGGTAAAATTGATCATTTTTGTTTCCAGCAAAAAAAAAAAAAAAAATTGAAGGTTATAAAATTATTGAAAGGTAAGTAACACGGGGTAGGGGTGTCCCAATAAAACGATGGGTGGTGGGAGAAAACGGGTATCATATTCGAATTTAGGAGGTCATTTTATAAGGAAAAAAAAAATAGTAATGATGTCTGTTGGGCTTTTCTTCATGCATCGTAATGAAATACCCTTTCCGCTCTTCGTTATCGCTTACACTGTTAAAAATTCCGAACCACGTTGCACCGAAAATTAGTATTCATTTCCTGGCTACATAAAATGGAGTTCAATTTCACCATATTTTGATATTTTCACTAGCTCCAAATATCAGCAGAAGGTTGCACCAAAAGAAGATGTTTTGAAGAAACAAAACACCTATTTTCATTCGTTCTCTTTTATTTTTTTTATTTTATAAAAGAAGAGGAAATCTGCACCATTATTAAATTTTTTTAAAGCGCTTAAATGCAGGTCAAGGTAGCTACTTACCGTAACAAAACTATTTACCTTAAGAAGTTATTTTATAACTTACCTCTAACCATTTTATAAGGAACGTCAAATTTAAATTAAAAAAGGCCATATAGAAGAAATGAACTTTAATAAATGCAAATAAAACATTTACCTACCTAAGTGAGTTGATACTTGAAACAATATAAATGAGTCGTCACGAAACACCGAGACCGAGTTGTAGAGAAAACATGGCGTTTTAAACAAATATCGTTCAATTTACAGTCACCGTCAACGTTTTGCGCCTTTTACCAAATTTTGGTGCAGTCAGTTGCACCGTGAAAATATTTCTCAATCATACTTACAATGTATGGTGTAACTGAAATAAAATGGCCTTGCATTTAACTGAACTTTGGAATAATGAGAAACTTTGCACCAAATACTCGTTAAAGATTTACCTAGTTTTTTTACAGTCAAAGTGATTTTGAAGATCTTTGCCTTTCCCACCAGTGATTCACCTTTTTCTTTCTTTCTGATTAACATATTACCCTAATGTATGCACTTTTTTTAAATTTTTTTTTCAAGAGTTCTAGGAAAAAATTACATATTTGGGGTAGTTATATCCGGGCATATCTATTTCTATCCAGGGTGTTTCATAAGAACTACTCTTATTATATATTTTTAGTATCTTTGTCAAAAACAAAATAACAAAAATTTAAATATTTAAGCGAGAAAAAAAACCAAAACGTTTTAGAAATTTGGTGAGCCATCGTTGAGAAAAGGGGAAATATAAAAGCTTAATTAATTGTCTTGAGGAAAAAATAAAGTTGAAAGGAAAATAAGTCTGCTTTTAATCCACCTTCTTCTTTAAGAATCCTTTAAAATGGTTTTTTTCCCTTGCTTAAATTTCAAACTAAAACCTATTTTTTTGTTTTTTAAAAAACAAATTCGTAAAAATTTATTATAAGCGATAATTATGGAAGAAAGTCGCGTAATGAAATAATACGTACCTTACATAAATTTTTTAAATTTAAAAATAAAAGCATGAATCAATTAAATACTTCTGATGAAATAAAACGCATTTCATTTTTCTTGCAGTGTAGGAGCACCGTCATAAATTTAGTAGGATCTATTTTTTTTATTACTGCTGTATTGCTCGTTGGACCAGTGCCATTTATTCCTTTGGAACCGTAAGTTAATTTTCTCATACTTTAATTTCCTACAACACGCAAAAATCATAAAATGATTTTTGATCGAATGAACAGATTTTCATGTATTAAGCTGCAATTTTTGCTTTTTGAGAAGAACTACTCTTGTAAAGTTTTAAAAATCAATGGCTTTCTTCTTTTTTGCAGTGACATACTTCGATAATGTGTATATATAT